AACATCCCTTTATAAGACAAGCCTTCTTGAACACTGAGCTCATTAAATCACATGAAGAATATGATGACAACATAAGGTCCTTGTCTTGCACATTCATAGTGTCTTCTCATGTCTGGCTTCTCAGAGAAAATTATTTTAAGTAGGCTTTTGAGGAATAAGTTCCTGAGAGAGATTGGTTTACAATTTTTACTAATAAGACCAAATATATTAAAAGTATTTTAAGTAGCTCAATTAAGTAATGAAACTGGAAAGCCGTAAAACTGCATCTTAAGAACATGTAATGAATTTTTACCAGTACTGAATAAAATTGTCAATATATTACAAAATTTAGACCTTTCATTTAATTTAAGTATTCACCCAGTATAAACAAGTTTAAGTATTTTAAAGTACTTAATCTTGAGTTATTTAAAGAGTGAGAAACTAGCTTTGTCCTTTTCTCTGTTTTTTGGATGTATGAATAATTGATTGACTGTGTAAATTGGCAAGATTCATTTGTTACACTTTCTAGCTACTGGTGACAATACCAGTTCATGTCCTTTTATTCAGTATGGAAGGTCAACAAGATAGTTACACAAACCATATTTGAGAATTAAAGTTCTGCTCCTGCAGTACAAGATCATCGTCTAGTAGAATGTTGTAGTCTGAGGAACTATTTCTATCAATGACAATACTAATTACGGCACCCCATTTTAAGCATAATAGGTCTTTGAATGACGAAATGGAAAAGTTATCTGATGACCCACAAAATACAGTTAATTAATTTGATAAAGCTTTGCATAATTTAATTTCCTAATGAGTTTCTTAATGAAGGCAGTATTTTACATTTAGATGGAACGTGTACTTTGTAATAATAATAATAATTTTCATAGTCATGATGCCCAGTGGTGACATATTAAAAAAAAAAAAGTGGAGCATCTGGGGCATTTTTGTATCGGTTATTGTATTTTCATAGAAGTGGTAAATAGTGGGGAATATTAGGGTCCTGTACTGTCACATTGTTGTTGATTGTAGTACCAAAGTTATGATTAGCTTTTAACATTTCATATATACACTGAAGTGTCATCTTGCAATAGCAATGAACCACGGTAATTGAGAGCAGTGCGGACTATTTCCGTATTCTTGTAGTCAAATAATATAGCAATCTACAATGGTTCCATTGTTTGGGTCGCATGATAAAAAGTTGTGGGGTGTTTTTATGGAGCACTGCTGTCCTTTTAGATTTTTGGTGCCATAAAAGAAAGAGTATATAAGGAAGAGATGTGAAAGCCCAAGCTGCACACAGGGCATCCTCCATTCACAAGAAGTCTGTTTCCTCATGGTTTAGTCTGCTGTTGCTGATGACTGCATGCTTTTCCAAGTGCAGTTAAAGCAGATGAAGAAGATCGTTTGCATAGGAATAAAATACATGGTCAACTATAGCACTGGGCAGATTTAAATAAGAATGTAATGTGCTTTATTTTTTCCCCAGAATGTATTTGAATTAGGGTATATATTTGAATTGGGATAAGTGTACATGCTTTTTTTTAACTGTCAGATAATGTTGGCTTTATGAGTGAGTGGGTGAGTGTGAACAGAATGCTAGATGAAGGTCTCTTAACACTGCCCTTTTCTACATCCTTTAGCTCTACCTTTCAAATAAACGACAAATTCTGAAAACAAAATAATGAAGGAAATAAAATGACACAGTTCTGAAAACAGAATATATTACTAAATATATTGTGTACCAATATAAACAAAACCCTTAGAAGTCACAGGTATACCCTAGAGAGTGGCTCATTGCTGCTCTCATTTTTTATGAGTCTGGACTACGTCAAGGACTAGATAGAGATCAAGACTCTGAGCTGTATGAATTCCAACGTGATGTTTTTCAGTGTTCATGGCTGCAGAGGACTGTGCGGTCACGGCAAATTCCGAGTGCTATTTTCTGGTGACGTTTTTCAATACAGATTTTTATTTCCATGGTTGCTGGGTCAGGTATTCGTACATTCATTGATACGGCAAGGCCCCCGTGAGCCATCTAGTGGGAGGTTTCTTCTTAACGCTTGACCATTTGGGAAATCTGTTCCTTGCGCCTCTTCCCATTCAGCCGTCCAGCACCAGCCCCTCCGTCTGTCATGGAACTTGCCTCGTCCTTTCCACTTACCTGTTGTGATCAGATTTCTGTGAAGTGCCAATGGGAAATGAGGAGCTGCATTTTATTGAGGTTGAATGGCAAAAGCAGAACAGACCTTGCTAGACCTCTGTTGCTTGATATATGACAAAACCTGTAGAAAGTAATTTTAATAAACCAGGAAACAATGGAATAACAAAAGGCAGATAGGTCAGTTTATGAACCCGTTCATGACAGTTACCTAACTGGAATAAAGAATGCTTATTTATTTAGTATTTGCTTATTTGTACAAGAAGAAAATAATGTTTTAAGTGTCAGCATAACCTCTTCTTTTCTACAACATGGGATCCAAATGCCTTCTAAGGAAAGTTGTAGTGTCAGGCACCTGGATGTATCTTGTCTGCTTTGGGTTGAACTGAACCACGTAAGACAGCTCTAAGCCAACTTTAAGTTTCCCCCTTTATAAAGCAAACCTATGGTAATTCATGAAGTATCACTGTAACCATTTTTATAACACTGATGGAAGCTTGATGACCCTTGCTTAGTTTGCAGTGGTAAATCCCATGCAGCAAGCTGGATGTATGCTGCCAAATGAATGCTGACCTGTGGTAGGAATGGGATGGAGCATCTAGGTTTAATTAGAGAGTAAGTTTAGAAAATGACATTTCAGGGAAAACTGAGCTCCTTTATATGAGGCCGGGGACTTTCAAGTCCAAGCCTGAGTGGGCTAAGGAAGGAGGCGATTGAGCACCCCGCAGAGCTAAACACTGGTAGTGCTGCTTCCAGGGAAGTGAGGAACAGCAGCAGGACTTGGGAAACAGATGATAGAAAGCTATGCACTTAGGATTTAGACTTTCTTTATGATGGAGTCTCTCAGACATTAAATGGCCTGACAGACTTGCATCTGCAGGTGGGAGTCTTTTTCAGGCATGGAATGCCATTTGCTATCTGTTAGAGGCACTTCCCTCTATCTATGTATGTATCAGGTAAATTACAGGCAGAGCAAGTGCAATATGGGATTTTTGCTGATAGTTTATAGTACACAGTGATAGTTTACTTTGTGAACTAGCTTTTCAAAAATGGTGCAGTATACCATTTTTTAGGATTCCCCTAGTTTTTAAGATCATATTTTTTAGGATCTTAGATGGAACAAGAACAGTGCATGTGCAATATGGTAGATGTTCCAAGAATCTGAGAAACCCACTGTGCTTTCAGTGCACACTTATTTTTCTCAGTCATTCTGGTCATGCTGAGTATATCCAATCCATTGACATTAGTGGGTATACCGAGTATGTGTAGATCAACAGATCAGAATATGCAACAACTAATCTGCAAGGCAACTTTCAAAAAGCCAGCTGTGCCAATGTACATGTAGATTCTGGTAATAGTTGGAATATTTAGATGTTAGAAAACTTTCTGTGGTTCTCAGCACTGCCAGAACATTTAATACTAGTAGACCTACAGAGACCATGGAGAAATCTGAGCATCAAAATCTTCCTAGACTACGTTTCTGGACAAGAAATAAGGGTAAGTCTGGGAAAATGATAATGCTGTACTACAAGAAGAGTGAAGCCTTGGGAAATAGTGAGGGCATTACTGATGCTTTTATACTTGATCCATTTATTTTTACAATGGCATGATTATAGATGTTGTAGCAGAATAGCAGAAGTGTATGCTACAAGATGTCTCTAGTAGAGATGTGCTTCTGATACATTTTATCATAGTACAGATTTGGTATATTTGCACATGTAATATCTCGCAGAGAACTGGGATAACTGCAAACCCAAATGGTCTTGGTTTTCTGCAGCAAAGTAGAAATGTAAGAATAGCTTAGTTACATGCAACATAGTACTAAATTTGGCAACAGTTTATTGTCTACTTCATATAATGATTTAGGTTGTCTTTTTAAGAAATTCATTTAGGGCTGATTGTCAGCTACCCTGGTAGTTCTACAGATATTTTGATCAGACAATGTAGAATGTGAAATGTTAGCACATTTAGGTTTTCTACTCAGCTTATATAGGGGGAGATGATATAAACCTATGCTTTCTTAATTCTTCATTAGAATTGTACAGTATGTGACAATATGAGAAATCCAGCTTCATATACTCTTTCTGACTGGTGATTGTTACTGACCCTGACTTGTCATATGTCCCATTCTGCCTGCTGTTTTTTTGATAACACTGCTTCCTTTTTGGTGACATGTAGGTGGCAAACTTTGTTTTCCTCAATTTTTTTCCAGGTTAAAAAATAACAATCAGTTGGTAGTTAAAACTGCCAGTTATAGTTATAACTACCAATTGGTTGAAGCAAAAGAAATGTACTTCAGGTAACAATTTTTCTGAAAGAAAACCCTGACCTGCTGAGTTGAGTTGGTGAGGCATGTGGAGTATTACGAATAAGAACAACGTTGAAACAGGTGCCTCACTGTTAACATTCCCTTCAGGTTTCACAGCAATGTTAGTTTCCTCTGTGGAGCAATCTGAAGTTTTCTAGTGCCACTGACACATTTCAGCTCACCTCTTGTTTGCGTAATGCACAGCTGCAGAGAGCTGCAAAAAAAGAAGATCATCTTGTCTGAGTGGGAATTTCTGATGACTATTTTGCTGAAGTTTGAATATAGATCTTTTCTTTTAATCTGGCACACCTCTTATAAAGTGGAAGTAGCACTGTTTGCTTCAAATCTTTAACAAATATAAATATGACAAATACAAAAAAATATATATATACAATGACAGCATAATATTAATAGAAAAAGAGAGTGTAGTTGCTGCTATCTTTCAACATTGGGTAATAAACTTGCCTAAAAATGACATAATCATATTTTCCCAGGTGTGCTTTTGCTGTCTGCGTAAAGATTAGTTAATTAGGCTTCATATTGTCTCCACAG